ATTTATGCTGCATGATCTGCATGATCTGGAAACCCCCAAGGTGTGAAGCATACAACAACCACAGCCACCACATGAGCCTGGGCAGGTAATGCCACCAGGATGCCTGACAGAGGAAATGTTAAACAACGCAAGAGGGTCATCTCCTTAATCCAAACTGAAGCAGACTGGTGTAGATTAAGAGCTGCTGAAGATGAGCTCACACACCAAAATTACAAAACTCACACTCACTCATACACAACAAGGCCCTGTAGCAAGTGTAGTGAACAGAAAAATAAGATTCTCCAAAAACATCAAATGATAGAAATTGTGGTGGCCGGGAATGGAGGCAGAGAAAGAGGGAGGGAGAAGGAGGTAGGAAGGGAAATAGAGAAAAAGAAATGAGTGTGCATAAGATGATTAACGACAGAAAAGAAGGCACTGAAAAATAAGAATAGAACAAGACTCTATCAAGAGATCAGCATGATTTGAAAAAGAACCAAATGCAATTTTCATAAATAAAATCAAAAAGAAAACTTCGAAAATGGGCCAAACTGCAGGTTAGACACCACAGTGTCTAAGACAACTAATTATCTAAAGATAATTAATACACAGGAGGGTAGACCTGTGGCTGACTTCTCACAAGCAATGACGGAAGCTTCTAAAAGAAAATAATTTTCATCCTGGAATTCTATACTCAGATAAAACCATTCTTCAAGATAAAAAGCAAAATAAAGATATTTTCAGGCCAAAAAAAAATCTGACTTTACTGCTAACTGACCCTTACTGATAGAACTAGTAAAGGAGGTACTTCAGGAAGAAAGAAACTGATCTCAGTATGAATGAGTGAAACATAGGAAGTGACCAGTAAAGACACTGGAAAGCACCGGACGGTCCAAGCAGGCACTGACTACACTGACTACTAACACGAAAAGACAGGAGAGTGCGAGTTACAGAGGTAAAGCATCCTAAATTCCTTTGGTTGTTAAGAGACATCCATTAATTTGGGACTTGGGTAAGTCAGTTATGCATACTATAATGCAGTAGTGAGAATAGTATAGTTTCCAAACGATCCCTATCATAATCATTCTCTGATCTTGTGTGACAGTGAGGATGTAATTTTCCTCTGTTAATGAGATACCAATAGAGTGGGATCCTAATCACCCTAACTTCTTTTGAAGATCAAGTTGCTAATTCCCAAACTCTGCCCCTCACCCCCCTCCAGTCCTCCAGCATCCCCCAGGGAAGCCATCCAGAGACACACCTCTGCAGGACCCCCTTCCTGGACACACAGCCCACCCCCTACACTCCCACCCCCCACCGCCCACCCCTCACCTCATCACTTGCTCTGAAGACGATCTTGAAAGTCCGACTGGGGTTCCGTTCCAGTTCAGCCTCAGCCACTCCCTAAACCAATCAAGAAAGCAAAACAAAGGACACCTCAGAAATCCAGGAAACCGTAACCCCTCCCCCGTCTGACTGAAAGCAAGGAGCCTCCAGACTCTGTCCCCATCCAGCCCAAGTTCCACTAGAATGGCATTTATTTGAATTTTCACATTGAAACACGTTTGAAAAAAAGGTTGAAATAAAATACAACATGCTAAAGTGGTCCCCCAGAAGGTGGGTTTATGAATGCTGCTTTCTTTTGTTTTTCAAAATTCCTGTAATGAGAATGTACCACTTGTAATAATCCCTTCAAGAATGGGGGAGGAGCTGGTATAGGAACAGGTCCGGGGCTGAAGGGCTCCCAGGATTGTGAGGAGCCGGGCGGAAAAGCCAGAAGCTGCACCGTCCTCGCATCTCATTTTGCTGTAGTAACTTCAAGACCAACTCCTTTGATTTAGATCTGAATTATTACAGATCCTCAGACTGCCAAGGATTGTCCTCCTCAGGGCAGTAGGATTTCTGTTGTCAAAGAGCTGGGACACACATCCTTCATGGTGACTAAATGCCAGTTCCTTCTGCGTCACAGGAGTGTCATTCCATTTAATTGCCTAATCTACACATGGCTCTCTGGCTGATTCCACAGACACTAGGCCCCTTCTCTGGCAAACTGGGCTATGAGATGCCAACATAAAACACAAGGGCACATTTCCTAATGGTTGAGAGCCCTTGGACTTAAAAGCTGTCCCTGAGGCAGAGATCTATCAGGAGCAACTGTAGTTAAGCCAAGTAATAAAAGCCTTTTGCAACACAGTCCCTAAGGGACCAGTTATGGGTGGGCACTGAGTAAGTGTGGCTATGACAACTGGCCTTTCTCTCCCCCTTTCCAACCACTCACCTGAATGCCCGAGGCACCAGCTGACCTGGACTGCAGGATACTTTCTGATCTGCTTGCCCACCTCCTGGTTTAACCCGGACGAAGAGCACCTACTTCCCTAGGTCTGGCCTTCGACGCCAGTCCCAAACACCGCCTTCTCTGCGAAGTCCCACCTTCCCCCACAACGACAAACAATACTACTCTTCTCAGATCCTGCAGAGCCTTGAGTGTCTCTTCTGGGACCACTTTGAGGGCAAGGACTCAATTGTTCTTGGCAGCCTCTGTGGCTGGTCCTGGACAGAGAAGGGGCTGAACATACATACGTTCATGCCTCTCCTTTCAATGTTCCCAGAGAGGAGGATCCTAAAGCCCCATCTACAAGGCGCTCCAGTGACCTGACCCAAGGTCCTCGCACACTTTGAGAGGCATCTTTTCTTGTTCTACACATCGCTCCTCATGAGAGCTCCGGATCTGTGAGATGGTAGCACGAAAGGAAAGAACACATTTATCATCCGGCGGCGCTAGATCTGTGGTTGGAGATTTTCTGATGAAAGCCATGTCAGCGTTTTAATTACAACACCCTCCCATTCGTAAGATTCAATTATAGTGCAGAATCAGTCCTGGCCTTCTGCAACATGATAAATGCCAAGGCAAGAAATAGCCACAGGAGCAAATGCATTGCAAGTGATCGATGAGAGCCCTGGGCAGCCTGCGTGTTGCTGTCGGTCATTATTCTTATTTACTGAGAGTAGCCCTCGTTTAGAAACAGCTGCTATGCATGCACTCAGGATTGCATTTCAGTGTTTGCAGAGACCTGCAAAGGTCTGGACAGGGCTTTGCCCTCAAGTGCTTCTTAAAAGAGGAAATGGATATCAAAAGGATCAATAAAAAATCAAAGACAGCAAAAAGGTAAATAAATCTGCCCATCCACACAGATTACATCAGATCAACAGAGAGAGTGGGATAAAGGCGAGGGCCAGAAAGGAGAGAAGATGATGTTTGTTCTCTGGTTCTGTGCCCAGCTGATGCCACCTGACTCTCTTTAATCTATAAAAGGTAAGACTATATTTTTAAGTCCCACTGACCAGTGACAAATTTCCTGTCTGTCCAGCTGGACCGGGGCTCCTCATTCTGCGTTCCTGGCTTTAGAATCTAACAAGCCCCAGCACTGATGCTTATTAGTTGCGTGACTTACTCCTCCAGCGCCTCGGTTTCCTCATCTGTAACATGAAGGTTTTATAAGGATTAAATGAGATCATGCCTGTTTCTTACAATGCCTGACACACAGAAGGCATGACAGTAAATGGTCATTATTATCACCATTACTCTTATCTCCATTATTAACGTCATCAGATTGCATCAGACTGGTCTGCTTTTGGGTCTGGTCCCCTCACCAGCCTGTGAGTTCTTATGGACGCACACCGCATCCCGTTCATATTCCTACTGTCGTACGAGGTAACAGTAAGTCCCCAACATAGCCTAGATGGATGGACAGGAGAGAGAGAGGAAGAGAGAAAGGATGGAAGGAAGGAATATGAGATAAAGACTTTG